CTGAGACTGAACTCTAGATGCTAAAAATAATTTTCTTTTCCAGATATATAATGCAAAAAAGAAAATCCAAAAAGGGAAAGTGAACGAAATCGTTGATAATGGTGAACAGATTCTTTCTTGCTATTTGCGATCCCAAGAATAAGCAGTAGGAAGGGAGGAGGAAAAGCACCGCGAGCGAGAGAGGACGATGCACTAGCCGCGGTGCCGCAGGGCCTGCAACGGGAGAGGCCGAGGGACATGAACGAGCTCGAGTGTCGCTGGCCCGGAAAATAAAATGGCACCGGAAGGGACCTGAGACGCCGCCCATCTCGCGCGGCCATGTAAGCCTTCGTGGGCGGGGATGTGGCTAGTGTAAGCAGCCGTCGACGCCTCACGAGTTATGGGCGGCGGCGCGACACAGCCGCCCGAAGGAGCAGCACCCGCAGCGCCGTCGCCGTCGCCTGCGAGCGCCATGAGCCGCAGCTGGCCGCCCGCGCTCACCGCCTCCCCCGGGGTGCTGATGGTGGTGGGCGGCGGCGGGGGCGCTGAGCCTCCCTCCCTCCCGCCGCCCGACGGCGGCGTGGCAGGGGGGGAGGCCCCGGCGGGCTGGTGGCAGGAGTGGGCCAACGACTCCGCCGAAGACAACTCGACCCTCGCGTTCGGGGGCAATCTGAGCCTGCACCACGGGGGCGGGGGGGAGGGCGACGACGCCCTCTCCGCGCAGCTGGCCGCCTCCGCCGTCACCGCCCTCATCCTCGGCGTCATGATCCTCGCCACCATTGTGGGTGAGTAGCACGGCCTCCGGGCGGAGCCACAGGCACAACACACAAGCACTCTTTCGGCCTTGCTTTCCCCTATGCGCCTGTCTGTCTGTCTCTGTCTTTGCCTCTCTTTCTCTGTCAGTCCCTGTTACTGTCTATTTGTCTGACTGTCTCTGTACCTACCTCTCTGCCTCTGTCTGCCTATCTATCTGTCAGTCTGTCTGTCTGTCTATTTGTCTGTCTGTCTGTCTGTCTGTCTGTCTGTCTCTCTCTCTCTCTCTCTCTCTCTCTCTCTCTCTCTCTCTCTCTCTCTCTCTCTCTCTCTCTCTCTCTCTCTCTCTCTCTCTCTCTCTCTCTCTCTCTCTCTCTCTCTCTCTCTCCACACACACACACACATATATACTTTATATATATATATTCGAGTGTTTCTTAATTAAATGGTTTACATATGTTACACATATTCGTGGTCTGCATCACCTATATGAATTCTCAATCAATGATAATTGAAAATAATGTATGTGTGGGTTCGTGATTTATGCCGTAAATTTTGAAAACCTTCGTATGTATGAACATTGATGCCTTCATAAATATGATAATGTACATGAACAGTTAGATCATGAGTTCTGTCTGGGTAAAACGCACGCACGCGCGCGCGCACACACACACACACATACACACACACACATATACACACACATACACACACACACACACACACACACACACACACACACACACACACACACACACACACACACACACACACGCACACACACACACACACACACACACACACGCACACACACACACACACACACACACACACACATACACACACACACATACATACATTCTCACATACATGAAAGAGAACATACATAATTTTGAAAAAGAGCATTGTTTACTTCTCATTACTTATGCAAATAATAAATGCTGACGAGGTACGTAGAATGAAATCATGATGAATCCCGGCAGCGGAGTCCAAAGTAAGATTTGCTGACTTACGCAAAATATACAGACATGTCTTTGAATCCGACAGTTTTCAGGAGCTTAATGGGAAAAGTTTAAATTACTGTACAAATAACAAATATTTACGTGTCTCAATGAGTCAAGGAATCGGGAGAGTGATAAATGGTTTACTTAATAACGGACTTAGATAACAGAGATTAATCATTCCACGGTCCACTGAGTATTTACCTTCTGCTATATACCAGTGATTCTTAAATCTGTGTTTTAATTTTTATCCTTTTCGCTTGATGTGCTTTGATATCTATCCATTTACTCTAAATTATGATGGATATAGATCATGCATCGCGGCCCGTGGAAAAGGGGATGGGAATACCTGTATTGTATAATTATGTAAAATATAAAGTTTTGCACATTAACCAACGGAAAATACTGTTCTCTATTTAGCAAAACATCCTGGGTGGTTTTACATGATATATATGTACTATAGTTTAATAATGAAGAAGAATCACTCGAAATTAACAAGAAATGATATCAAAAGTATCATCAGCGAATCAGCAGTGATGTAATCATCGCATTTCAGGCGATTACTTTCCTTTGTCTCAATTGTTGCAGAAACGGGAAAAAACCTGATTGTAGGTATGAGGGGACAGAAATACTATGGCCAGCTATAGAACTGATATTGACTCGCTAGATTTGGTAAGATAATTACTTCCTGTCACACTTCTTTCTGTTTTCGGTACCATTGCTACATACTAAAATCAAACTACTAAAAAACGTACAATTATATATTTCAGTGATAACATTACTACTATTAATAATAACAATTTTCAATAACAGATCAGCCTAAGGATGAGTTTATTTCCATCCTAGTTCCCTTCGTGGCTCCTGATCACCCCCCCCCCAGACCCTAACCGATGGGCTCCACGTTCATGCCAATCACTATAATTTTTTCATATAATCTTTCTAACACTCATAAAAAAAATTGCAAGCACTACCAAGCAAATACCATTTCCGTCTGCCTTAGGGAACAACCGGAGCAGTAGTAAAGATAGCAGTAAGAATAATAACGATAATAAAATACGTATGTGTGAGGGTATATCTACGAAGTTAGTTTGCCTCAAATACCTTTTTATTTTTTTTTAACCATAACGAAATTATCCCGAAAACCTGAACTCATACGTAAAAGAGGTTTTATAGACTCCCATAAAAGAAAAGTTTTATCGAAATGACTGTAACCATAACGAAGGAAGAAGGACGATAAAAAACATTATTTAATCTGGAATCTTATCCAGAACAAAGGAATTTTTTATTTCCATTATTATCATCATTATTTTATTATTATTTTTTTTAGATAAAGCAGTGAATAATGAACAGATTAATGAAGGTGTGGAGAGAGGAATGATTGAATGAATATATGAGTAAATAAATCAGTTGCTAGATGAATGAAGTGCATAATAAAGTGAATGGATAAATAGCTGACTGAGTGAGTAAGTGGATGAGTGGATGGATGAATGGATGAATGAATGAGTAAATAAGTGAAAAAACGAGATGTCAGGTGAGTGAATTGAGTAATTAAATAGATGAATGATTGAATGAATGAGTAAATAAATGAGAGGAATAGATAGAGAAATGGACAGATGAATGGTTGCGTAAAGATGAAAAAGAATAAAGAAAATCTTAATTAAATAATGAGATAAACAACAGATCAATAACGAAGAAGAAACACAAACCAAAAATAAATCCAAACCGTGAAATGATCAATATCTATGATTTATTTTCTAACTAAATTAATAAATAAATAAAGGAAAAAAAAATCAAATACATCAAAAACAATAATAAAACTCATAGACTCATTGATCAATAACAACAATGACGATGAAAAAAAAAAAAAAAAAAAAAAATGTATATAAAGGTCGTACGTCTGACCGACAAGCACATTAAGGGAAATTACATATTGAACCTTAAGAAAAATGAGCATAAAATCTTAGGTATCGTTAGGCAGCCTTTTTGAGCGAACCGACAAATGGTGGAAATGAGTTTTATTTCTGCCTGCACGTGCTTACACTTTCGTGGAAATGCATATGTGTACGTGTGTGTGTGTAATGCATATGTGTACGTGTGTGTGTGTTTGTGTGTGTGCTTTTGTTTGAGTGTTTGTATTTGTGTGTGTGTTTTTGTTTGAGTGTTTGTGTTTGAGTGTTTGAGTGTCTGTTTCTGTGAGTGTGTTTCTTTCTGTGCGTGTTTGTGTGTGTGTGTTTATGTGTGTGCGTATGTGTGTACGTGTTTTTTTTTTTAAACGAGGAAATAAATCTAGAAAATTAATTAGAATAAAAAAAATAAAAATAAATAATCAACCCTCCACCTTTTCCGATTTTAAAGTCGAACCAGCGATACGCAGCTCCCCCCTCCCCCCTCCCCCCCTCCCCGGTCCCCCACCTGCCCCTCCTCATTCCTTCCCCCTACGTCCTACCCTCCCCCAACCCCCTCCCCCCTTCCTTAACCCCTCCTACCCCCTTACCCTATCCGCCTCCGCAACCCCCCTCCCCCCTTCCCCCCCACACAGCACCCCCCCCTTAATCCCTGACCCCGGCGACTCCCTCACCCTTTGCCCCCTAACCCCGCTCCCCTCCCCCCCCAACCCTGACTCCTCTCCCCTCCCCCCCCAACCTCTCCCCCTCCCCCCCAACCCTAACTCCTCTCCCCTCCCCCCCCAACCCCTCCCCCTGTCTCCCTGATCTCCCCCCCCAACCTCCCCCCCTCCCCCCCACAACTCCTCCGACTCCCCCCCCCCCCCCGACCCCCCTATCTGATGCTTGTTCAATTTAACGTAAACCGCTTTCTGACCAGACCGCTCGGCTCCTGAGTGCGTCTTGATCCTTTGTCCGGAGAGCAGTTTGCTTGCGGCGCTTGCTTGCGTGTGCGTCTGGAGGATTCGTTTGTGTTTGGGTCGGTTTGTGGTTGCTTATGTTTGCTTGCTTGTGTTTGGTATTGGTTGTTGCTTTTTTTTGTTTGCTTGTGTTTGGATTTGTTTGTTTTTGCTTGTTTGGTATTGCTTGGTTGTGTTTGTTTACTTGTGTTTGGATATGTGCGTGTTTGCTTGTCTTAGTTTGTGCTATTCGTGATATATGCTTATTGTGCTTGTATATGCTTGCTTGTATTAGGTCGCGTGCCGTGTGCTTGCATATTCATGTTTAGCCTATTTACTTATGTGCTTGCAAACTTATATTTCTTTTTTGTATAGCATTTGCCACGTGTGTTTTGGCTCACCACGTTAGGTTGCATCTGCTTGCTTGGCCTTCCTCCCTCATCCTTGCTTGTTTGGATTTCCTATCTCGCTCGCTTGCTTCCTAACTCTTACTCTCCGCCTCGTTTCAAGCAAGACTTCATTACGAATTTATCGCGCGTGGAAATTGCAGTTAAACGCGGTATAACAAACGCACCAGTCAAATTGCCTAATCTTGTTCCTTATCTCTCTCTTGCCGGCTTAAGTTATGAAGCGTTAATTGGCGAAGTTCAGATAAAGAGTCTTACGAGGAGGGATGTGGTAAGTGCCTTTTAGCTAAAAACTATGTAATGCGGGTTTCGATCACTTTACGGTTTTCTTATTTCTTTGATGATCGAGGCTGATATACTTTAATTGCTGCAGTTTTTTTTTTTTTTTTTATTTATCTATCTGTTTATTTTATTTTTTTAATGATTTTGTGTATTTCGAAAAGTAGAGCGATGCATAGGTTTGAGAGATAAGTAGATATATATACAAATAGATAGATAGATAGATAGATAGTTAGAAAATAGAGATAAACAGAAAGGTTGATGTACAGGTAGATAGATAGAAGGGTAGACAGATAGATAGATAGAGAGATAGATAGATAGATAGAGAGAGAGAGAGAGAGAGAGAGAGAGAGAGAGAGAGAGGGAGGGAGGGGGAGAGAGAGAGAGAGAGAGAGAGAGGAGGGAGGGAGGAGAGAGAGAGAGAGAGAGAGAGAGAGAGAGAGAGAGAGAGAGAGAGGAGAGAGAGAGAGAGAGAGAGAGAGAGAGAGGAGAGAGAGAGAGAG